AAGTACCATATTTCATACCATATTACCATATTTCATATTTCATATTTATAAAAGAAGGATTGATGCATAGACTTGAACTGCTTCAGCAACAGTGGTAATTGAAGAGGGGAAGAGAAACGTAAAAACCTATTAATGATCAGACAATTAAGCTACTTTAGAAAAGGTTAATTGTAAGTTAATGAAGTTCGTTGTTATTACGTTTTTTTTTAACAAACATTAAATTTCAATATAGACAGTAATTAACATATAAATAACTTATTTGAATTGAAGGAATCATCAGAAAATAAGAAAACGGTTAATATATTACTAAAGATAGTCTGAACATACTATATCGACAGCGCAAGCCATACATTGAACTTATAATGCTGTTAAGTTTAGTACGCAAATTTAAAAAGCAAATAATATTTTCAAAGACCACTAAAAATGTCTATTTATGCGCTCATATAGACTTTTCAGATATTATCAAATATCGAATAAAACAAATGGATTAAATACTCAGTAAATTTAGCTATAATGCTAGCTATAATAGCTATAATACTGATCGAAAATTAAAATTTTTTTTTGTTATTATTTTATTTAAAATTTTTTGTTTTTGTTTTATTAATCAACAAAATTTAAATTACATTGGAGTTAGGAATTAAAAATAATCTAATTACAAAAGTAATCAGTACTGCATAGAACTGTTCAGCTTAACGATATAATATGTCTTCCTCGAAGTTGTATTTTTAGTTTAATTTATGAACATAAACATGTCAGACTATACTATGTTATAAGAGTATGATATACAAAATAAATAAATGATATAATATAATATTAAATGACATACAAAACCTTTTAGAAAGTAATAATTTATGATGTGTTATATGAATAAGGTATTTGGTTGATCACTTTAATTAAGTTTTTTGCAGCAACTTTCAACGAATTGATGAATTTAAGTGATCGAAGAAGACTAGAAAGTATATTCTAGTGAATTCCTAGAAACTTACAGAGTAACAGGCTACGTTCAATTAAAGCAAGTCTTGCAAAATATATTATTTGCATCTTACAGAGTAGAAATTGGAACGATTTCATGGCAAGATTGGATGATCTTACTTCAGAACATTAGAAAGTTATTTAATACATACATTATTTCTAAGTTAACATCTTACCATACATTTAAGTTTTTACTTTAAATATCCACATATAGTTATACTGTCAATTTAGATTTTGATATATTGTAAAGGTTTGAGACGACTGTCTTTTAAAAAGTATTTGTATATTATTATAGCAGGATGGCGATTCTGTTATAATAATAAAAATTTGATGTGAATTTTGTAAAGTCTTTTTCTTGAAATGTTGATACATAAACGATCGACCTAATAGATAATAAGTATTAATCTAAGCTCTTAAACCGCTTTTCAGTTATTATTAGCAAATTAACTCTTGAAAAGATTGTTAACTCAATTTGAGTGATCAAAGAAATCTTATTTTATTTATAAAATTTTTTTATAGACAAATATTCTTATGTACTGAAAATATTATTTAATTCATATTTACTTATGTATAACCAATCAATGCATTGTTTATTCTCAATTTTTAATAGTATATAAAATTCAATATATTAAAATCTATTTATAATATTTCTCCTATTCTTCTAGTTAATTTCTCCTATTCTTCTAGATAACTATTCTAGATGTAACATAACAATGTATCTATAGATATTTATTTAATGCATTCTTTTATACATATTCTTCATGCGTTTTTCCAATACATGTTATTAATGAATTTCTTCAATGCGTATCACTCATAATATCACTCATAACACTCATATTCATATTATGGTATTACATTCCCTTAAGGAATTTAAGTTACTATTATTATTATTTTGGACAGGCAACTCATAGAGTGGGTTTTCCAAGAAAAACTGCTTCTTTTACTAAAATTTTGTCGAAAATTTGGTTATAAAGCAATCGAATCTGTATACATTGATTAGCTGTTATACATAGTGATAATGTAAATGTAAGCTTCTACTTTATTCCTAATCTGTTACTAATCAAATTCCAATAACTTTATATGAAAGTAACCTACTAAAGCAAACTTCTCTTCCTGTTCTATTATTATTATGATCACTTCCTACTTACATTTTGTCGCGTTACTAAATAAACATTTGTGTGAACTGTTTAATCTTTCACGATTATTTGTGTAAACAATGTGATATCTGTCAACATTGGGGAAATATTTCAGCACCAAATCCCGTAAAATACAAAACAAAGTGTCCTATCCATTAAAAAAAATCGCAAAAAAAAATCTTTTCACTTAAGTGTGGTACGTGCGTAGACTTAAGGACTTTTAATTTTTTCTTAAACCATTAAAATGCCGCAGGATTTCGTAAATTGATTTCTGTATTCCATGCTATCCAATTTATTCTATTCTTTGACTTATCAAAAAAGTTATTTACCTTAAAAGCGGAGTGACGAAATTAGGTTGCACAGAACTCACAGGTGCTCGGCACACGTTCCGTGTCAATTTTCAAGCCAAAAAAAGATACATTTTGCAGTTAACATTGCTTCGCGGCCATTGTGTTGGTATTATAACATTTTTTGTTTTTACTGTTTCACTGTTTTTGTTGTTTCTTTTTTTGAGATACTATCTATAGTATCTATAGGTTTAAGAACGTTACGTTGTTACGACACGGAGACGTAACGTCGAATCTGATTTGCATAAGAAACAGCAGCAAAAAAATTTCAGTTAAAGCCTCAGAAAGCAAAGGAAAGACAATAAAAAATAACAAAGGGAAACGGAAATGTTTGTAAAGTGTCATTTCTACGTATTGTGACTTTTCTCGAAATTGAGCTGTGGATTTATGCTCGTTTTTTCATTGTACATTTTCAATACGCACTTTAGATTTATTTTTACGGATTTTTTCTCTAAATTTTCACATTTTGCTTGATTGTAGCTTTTTGTGGGACAGCAACTTTCAATTATGCTTCTTTTGGGAAATTTCGAATCAGTCATGGTTTTTAGAGCTCCTTTAGTCTAACTTTTTTATATTTTTACAATTGGTTGATTGGTACTCTCGTTTGGCAGCAAGTATTCGTTAATGGTAATCATATTTTTTAGGTGAAAAGTTAAGAATTGGTAGTTGAAATATGGATTCACAAAGAAGAAAAAAGAATTAAATCGCTTACTTATTCTCTTTTAACAACAGAAACCTTTTAAAAAAGAAAAAAACATGAAAAGAGTTTATAGATAAGTCAAGAAGTTGAAGGAAGTGGAAGTAAATCGTCTTCTACAGGTTGAATGCATGTCTATTACTATGAAGTAACACATAAACCTGTACATCGAACTAATCTATGAGAAAAATCAAAGTTTTAATTACTTATAAAAGAAGATCCTAAAATATGTTCACTTAAGATCAAAAGGAACATATTTAAAGTAAATATCAAAAATCTGTTTTGTACTGTTTAATTTGAATTGAAAGTCAGACAAAGAATTGGATTTTTGAAGATTTTTTGTTTTTTTTATCATTAATTCAAAAAATCGACAGGTTGGAAGTACTAAGCCTTTCTGCAGCTTGTATACGAACAACTAATCAGTAATTTCTAAAGACTACTTATAATGATTGTTTGACAATGCTTGAAAAAGCTGTATGGTCCGCCAAAAAATTCTCTTAATAAAATATAAATTAATTAATATAAATATATAAATAATAAATATATAAATATGTATTAATATAAATTTACAAATATAAATTTGTTTTAGAATTTATTACTGTTTAATATAAACATCAAATTGAAACTATTAAAATTTAACTATAAGGAAATAATTTTTAATTAAAAGTGGTAAATCACTAAAACCATAAATTTAGTTTTTATTAAGAACTACTTCGTAATAACGATATTCATCGAGACCTTAATATCTCAACAGTAGTTAGGAAAATTAAAAAACTAGCGGAAGCTCATTCCAAATGGCTCCAGAGACATGTAAGCGAAGAACCTAGTAGTTTTCTTATTTCGACGACTTCAACGAGAGAAGAAAAATAGAAAAGGTCTATTTTGACATATTTCATCCTCTCTTTTGCATCTC